GAACAGACAAACCAAACTCTGGCTGTAGATAGGGACTTTTACGTTTGCTGCGAGTTTTGTGGCCACCGTAGTTTCTCCTACACACTTCACAGCCCGTTCCCAGGTCCTTAAATACAGCCATGTGCGGTATTCAGTTAGTTGCAATGTGCAACTAAATTGCTAGAGGCCACTAAATCTTACACGTTGGTCCTTTAATGTTATTAGTTTTGCAGGTATTTGGTTGTAAACCAAAGTATCAGAAAAAGTATTGACCTGATGGGTGTAACTAAACTGTATCTACCAGAAATAAAACAGAGCATATTCACCTCCTAACCATCTGCATCTGAAGGTGAATTTATCACATTCTTACTCATAATGCCTTTAAAAGATGAACAAGTCATCACTCGTGTTACTGTATCAAAATTCCCATTAAGTCCCACTGTACTCCCACTGTAGTTGTGAATCATTGATGTGAAGGTCATCATTCATCTTGAAAAACCCATGTGAAATAAGTTTGGATGGTTCCTCTGATTTATAGGTTTAGCAGTGAATTGCAGTTAGAGGAACGTATTGTTTTTGAGCAACCAAGCTTACAAGTAGGTTTTATTTTTCATTGTTGTGCCTCACTCCCATCTGTGCTGACTGCCAACTGAGTAATCCTCTGTAAGTGAATGTTTTTTGTTGTTGAACTGGACTTCATGAGATTAATTCAATTTCTTTTCTTGTTCATTTTTTCTTCTGGTTTGTGTGCAATAAGAGGTTGTAGGGGGAAAAAAAACACTTGGTGTGCAGCATTAGAGTGTTTGTCTGCATCCTATATTATATTAGTCATTGCCACAGATCCCAAGTGCAGCCATAATTGGACTAATGTCCAATAATTAAAAGCACAGGTTTTCTCTTCCTCTGTGTTCTCTTTTTGCCTCTATCTTCTTCTTCCATTGTCTCTTCCTCGCCACGCTCTGTAATTCTGTCTAGCGCTGGCCCTTAAATTCAACTTCACATTGGCAGTGTTTAGTTTTTTCCAACCTCTCTCCGTGTGCCGGTCCCAGCCTTGTCACTCCTGTAATCTCCTGAGCCAGGTCCGCCGGTGCAACCAGTGCTTGTGTGCGACAAGGGCTGTGTGTGGTAGCCTGGTACAGCCCTTTCTCATGACTGAGAAATAATCCTCATTATAACACTCTCCGAGCCTTTCTCACACACACACACACACACTCACACAATATGCGTTTGCACATAGGCATGCATCCGCGCACACACACACTAACACACACACACTTTTGTTACCCCGATCTGTGTTTCTCAAGTCTGCAGAAGAAAGTCTTTCAGCCCGAGTAGGGAAACATGTGAAAAATAGAGAGGAATTGTTCTTCTCATCTTCTGTTTCAGGTGCTTTCATCTCAAGGACATCAACATGCTTTGGCTACGCGCAGGTACTCTGCCACTCTGTCCGCTCTGCTTCTCTTTAGATGTGATTTATTAGTCCCTACCTCTGATGAGGGGCTTTCTGTTCTCTCTTAATTATTGTCTGTGTCGTAGTGATGTTTTTCACTCTTTTACCAATAACCCTGTCTTGAGAACAAATGGAGAAAGGTCTATAGCTCTCGGGCTATATGTCAGAGCTGCCTAATGCTTTCTAGTGTAGATTTAATCTCTGTGTCTGTATGTGTCTTAAATTGTACACTGTTCAGAACAGCTGAGAGATTGTTTGCTTGTGTACACTGATTATGTTGACTTTACTGAGATCAGTCAGGTTGTTTGTAATTTTGGTGTCAAAGTGTAGCAAAGTGCTACTGGGAAAAAAACATACATTGTTATTCAAATCAGGCTTATTTAAAAATGATCTCCAAAAGTGCATCAAGATACAGGATAGTGACTAATGGCACGTGTTAATTTACTCTACAAAACTACCTGTTATATAAACTGTACTGTTTGTTGCAAACCTTTTTTTTTTAATTACTGGTTCAGTATGTAATTACAATGTTAAATGTCCTGTACAATATGTGTGTATATGTGTTAGTGTGCGACCAAGTTCATTCTGGTTTAACTGTTTGATAATCAGATGGACTTTGTTCTGTGTTTAATTATTAACACACATGTTAGTTCATACAAATCTCATTTGGAGTAATCTGTACAGTTGAAGTTTTGTTCAGACCCCAGAAAAAGATAATTACATTATATACAATCTTTTTTTAAGATGTAACGAAAAGAAAAACTGTGCATTTGATTGACTGATAAAAGTCAAACCATGTTTAATGGGCACTCACACTCTGCCCTCAGTTTGTGTTCACTTTAGATTATTACTCTGCTGACAACCCAGGCATTGAAATGGTGGCGTAACACAGACGCACATATACACACACAAACACATGCGCGCATACGCTTACACACATGCACACGCACACAATTCAACCCCTCAGCCCCTAATCTCTCAAAAGGCCAGTCTGTATCGAAGTTGGACTGACAATCATTTCACTGTTCCTTGTTGGACACAGCTGGACAGAGAAAACATAGAGGGCAGAGAAATTTACACAGCCAGTTCACATCAATTTAAACTGAACTGATCTAGTGATTTGGAGGTTAAAGTTATTTAATTTATGTTTATCTTCTTCTTTACAAAAATAGCATGGCAGCATAAACATAACAAATGTGACCCGTCACGCTGTAAAGCAAACACACTCTTGTTTGTAGATTGTTACAAATGTAGTGAAAGTTCCAAAAAAGAGTCAACAAACGTCTCGTATCTGTTCTCAGTGAACATGTTCATCAGCTGAAAAGTTAGAAGAGACTTAGAACAAATGTAATACAAGCGTGCTGGACTGTGCGCTTGCGCTTGTTTTATCAGGGTTGTAGTACTGAAGTCTCTAGTCCAGCTTTGCAACAATTTAAAATGCCTGGTCTTTGTAAGTTTGTTAAACCTGGGACTTTTCAACCAGGTCCAGTTAGATTTTTATACACATAATCTTGTTTCTTGTAGCAGTTCTGTCCAGCACACTTCTAGTTTCTGTGTTTTAGTACTGCATTATTCCTACTTCCACAGTGTAGTCTGTCATTCAGTATATCCACTCTATGAATGGTACACCTGTTAACTTCCTGTTACCTTCTTTCAGAGGTGATGTCATCTTTTTATCAGTTTAGTAGTTTTTCAGTAGAACTTAATACAAATATAAGCAGCAGCATGCCCTGTATATCAGGGTACATGCAAGTGGATAACTGAGTGGAGGCTACAAATAACATTAGATTATTTTTTGTGCTTCATTTAGCAATTATGATATTGTCTTATCTGTTTGCAGAAAGGGTTAAACATTATATTGCTGTTGGTCAACTGCAATTCAATTTAGATAAATGTTTATTTTCTTAAGGTACAGCGCCGTTTTCAGCCACAGCAGGCAGCTGTTTTCAGTGAAAAAGCTTTGTATGCTACCTGCTCTGCACCCCAACAGCAGCAGATAGACATAGTTAATGACTAGAGGGTGAAGTGGCGCATTTAGCAGCTAAAGCTAAATATTTACCTCAGGAGTTGGTGGAGACCAGAAACAAAGCTTAAACAGTGTGTCTTACGTTCACCAGATGGACAGATGAATCCAAATGAATGATAATGTAGCTCAGTAACTGCTTTATGTGTAAATAAGCAACTGTTTGCTTACAAGTTCATCAACACTTACATTACACTTAAAAAGTGCCAAAGATTTTTTTGCAGGTAATTTAATAATATATAATATTTATTTATCAGTCAGAATTTTTGTTTTAAATATTTGTCATTCCAGTTGTATACACAACTCAAGTCAATGTATATTTCCTATAATCATAAATCACAAATTTGGCAAATTTGGCAAGTTCAAGTTTTCTCCTCAGTTTTCCTTGTAGGTTTTTTCCATTTCAATCCTTGGACATTAAGCTTGTATTCTGTCTTTCTTACCCCCGCTCTTCTTAAACTTTATCCCTCCCCTTTTCCTCCATCTCTTTATTTTTCGTTATCAGGCCTGCCAGGTTAAATTTACTGCCTCTTTGGGTGGGGTGCACATCTGGATCTTATTTTAGGGGGAACCATCCTGCTTTTCTCCCCTTGCGCTGGCACATATTAAGAGACATTAACCATCTGTTTCTATCAAGAGAAAAAAGCCAGTCAGTGTAAACATGTTAGTTTTCTCAAAAACCCAGTAACTTGAGGATTGATAATGTTAAACAATAGAATTTGGGGTGTTCTTGAGGGGCTTGGCTGGAGACAAGTGGTTTGGTTTGTGAGCTTAATGATTGAAGGTTGTAAGATGTCGATGTTTATGCTGCTGTATAATGTCAACTCTGCAATTGGATGGGACAAAGCACGCATTATTTCCGAGATGATATGGTCCATTAAAACATTTGTGGAGAGTGGTAGCAATGTGTGGAGAGAGAGAAACTGTGACAGTAACACTGTTAAGTGACATCTCTGTTCCTGATGAAGAGTGAAGCTTTAAAGCAAGACAGAAAAAGAGGGAAAAGGAGATTTTTTTTCTAATGCTAACACAAAAATTCCATGCATTCCCAACTGAGTAGCTGCTTAATCTATTGGAGAAAGAGTGAGTGTGTGTGTGTATGTG